ACCTTATAGACAGAGGTGTTGTGAGACTTAGTGAAATAATGGCTGGCATACAATAGATGTAGAATGAGTGCATCTCAGCAACCATCCTCCCTTTTACCAGTGATAGCTCCGAATTTTCCTTGGGTACCTTCTCCGTTTTCAGTCTCTTAGAGTTGGGGGTTGAGCATATGGCACAGGCCTAAGCCAATCAGCACGTGGTGTTCTCCTGTCCAGTGACTGGTTCAGGGGAGACACGCATCCCAAGCTAGTCCATCAGAGTAACTTCAGGGTTTTTGCTGGCAATAGTGGGACATTTTGTCGCCTGGGATGGGACTCTGAAAGGATGTGGCCTCTGGAGCTGCCAGAGCCATCTCATGACCACAAACTGGATTCAGCACAGAAAGGAGAGCTGAGAGCTGGAGAAAAGCTGGGAGTTGGTGATAATCCAGTCACACCTGAAAGTTTCCAACCTTCTCACCAACAAGAGAACTTATTCTTTTACTTTCTGGGACACCCTTTGGGGTGAGGGGCCCAGGTTTTTAGTCTAACATTCTCAAAAGTCCCTAAAGTCCCACAGATGTTTAGTGGCGTCATTGGGACTAAAAGTTATGCCTCCTGATGTGTATTGTATCCAGTGTTCTTGCCACCAAGCATGCTGTCTTAGTTATCTAGTGCTGCTATGACAGAAATACCACAAGTGGGTGGCTTTAACAAACAGACGTCTACTGTCTCACAGGCTAGGAGGCTAGAAGTTTAACTTCAGGGTGACAGCTCCAAGGGAAGACTTTCTGTCAGCTCTGGGGGAAGGTTCTGGTCATCACTCCTCCCCTGGGTCTAGGAGTTTATCAGCACATGGACCCTGGGTCCAAAGGACACACTGCACTCCCAGTTCTTCTTTCTTGGTGGTAGGGGGTCCCTATCCTCTCTGCTGGATTCTCTTTTTTATGTCTCAAAAGAGATTGACTCAAGATACAACCTAATCCTGTAGATGGAGTCCTGCTTCATTAATGTAACTGCCTCTAATCCTGCCTCATTAACGTCATAGAGGTTAGGATTTACAACACACAGGATAATCACATCAGATCACAAAATGGTGGACAACCACACACTGCTGGGAATCATGGCCTAGCCAAGTTGATACACATTTTTGGGAGACACAATTCAATCCATAACCTGCGCAGTCTTCTCTTTGGAATGACTGCTTGTCAGCTATGAGACTAATAAAACCAAATAAATAAAACAGAAGGAAGTCTGGAGAGATTTGCCTGGGGGAACTGAGGAGAGAGAAGGAAAATGGGAGGGAGTTAGTTAGCTGTGTGAGTAGACCTTGTGGTGCAGTGGTTAAGAGCTCGCCTGCTAACCAAAAGGTTGGCAGTTTGAATCCACTAGCCGCTCCTTGGAAACCCTGTGGAGTAGTTCTACTCTGTCCTATAGAGTCACTATGAGTCAAAATTGACTCAAGGGAAACAGGTTTAGTTTTGTGTTTTTTTTTCGAGTGGGTAGACCAGTGTGCAGGAGAAGTAGGTTACCTGCAGTCCTGCAGTGAAATGAAGCAGGCTGTGATGGAGAAGATGGAGGAAACGTTCATCCACGTGTCTCTGAGCAGGAGAGGAGGAGGTGGGTGAGAGAAAGAGTGAGTCTGGCAGTTTCTCATATTGGCCACCAGGAGTTCATCCCCAGGTAGGATGGCTTGATTGTGGTTGGGGTTTGGTGGAAACATCATTTAGGAACCTTTTTGTTGCAAGTGACAGAAAGCCTGGCTCAATTTAGTCCAAGAAAAAGAGAAGGAAAGGAAGGAAGGAGGAAAGGGATTGATTGGCTCATGTTACTGGAGAGTCCAGGAGTAATGGCTTCAGGCACATTGGATCTGGGGGCTTAAATGTGCCATCAGGACTCAACTTTTCTATTTCCATTCCTGCTGACTCTGTTTTCCTTGGGTGCCTTCATTCTCAGGCAGACACTCTTCAAGTGGACGCCTGCAAAAGCCCAGGCTTGTATCTTACCAGCGTGGCAGTTCCAGCCCATAAAGAGCTTCTCTTTCCCATTAGCTTCACCAGAAGTCTCAGGAATGTGTCTCATTGGCCTGAATTGGGTCATGTGCCCCTGTATCAAGCAATTATTGTGGCCAGGGGGTGAATATAATGGTTAGCCAATCCTGGGTCACGTGCACATCTATCAAGTAGTCCCACTTGAGCCATCTAAACTAAAAACGGGGCAGGGTGCTCCCTCAAAGGAAATTCAGATGGTGTCATTGGGAGAGGAAGGAATGGATGCTGAGCAGGCAAAAATAAAAGATATCCTCTAGAGATGTTAAAAGTGATCTGCAAAATGCTAAGAAGAACATTTTTTTAAAGGTCCTGAAGTCAAATAAATTTGGGAAATGTTAGGCAAAGGTATTTATCACAGGACTTCTCGGCGCCTTTAATACATGAATGTGCACGCATTAAAGAATGACTATGCAAGAATGCGCTGGAGAATGCAGCTTTCCCCCAAGTGCTTCTGACCACAGAGTCCTTCCTTGTGAAGCTTCTCACAGGACTGATGGGCACACAATGCATTTTGGGAAAGACTGCACTAAACCCCATCAAGAGCCAGAGCTACTGTGTCATTGTTGATACCTTATCCAGTGCCACCGGTTCAGTGCACACTGCCGGGCTCAGCTGCCAGCAACTGCCTCCCTTTGCCTCAGGGCTTGCTGTGGCCACTGGAGTCCACTGTGCCCATATGGGTGCAGGCCAGCGGTTTTCGAGAACTAACACCCAGGGAGCAGCCCTCAACCAGTGACTAACAGAAGCAGATGTATAAATGCCCAGGGTTCCCTCCTCAAGGTGGAAAACTCACATTCCTGTGCTCCAGGCTGGTTCCCAGAGCTCCCCTGCGGTCTGAGCTCCAGCTGCCCACAGTGGTAATTGGCTGAACTCATAATGCCTTTATTGACTGTCTTCTCTCCTGTCTCACTTCCCGGCTCTCCTTTCTAGGACCACCTCCCAAATAAACTACTTACACTAAAGCCCTTACCTCAAGGTCTGCTCCTGGGAGCACCCAAATTAAGAGGACTGTTACCTCCTGACGGCTTTAGAAGCATTCAGATGTCTCTCCAAGAAATTCCAGAAACTCCCTTTCTCTCTCATTTATCATTAAATCTACCTTTCCTCCAACAACAAAATTCAAGAAGAATCTATTTCTGCTCCCCAGCTTTCATCAGCAGGGGTTCTCCCCACTGACCAAACCAATGTGCTCAGAAACTCCAGAACCAGCCCCATAGATTTCATCACATTAGCTCTGCTCTCTCTGTCCCAGCTGGTCCAATGAACCGATGGACGCAAAGCCACATCCCCTAGCTTGATCCAAGAAACACAGATGGGAAGCTGCTCTTGGTGCCTCATCAAATCCCCCACCACCACCACCACCACCACCATCCACCAAGGCAAGGACCAGAGTCACCCTGGACCCTCCCCATTCCTCACAGCCATAGCCAACTCATCGCCACATCGGTTGATTCTACCTCCCAAACATCTCCAAATTCTACACCCCTGTGCATCCCCCCTGCCATGTCTTTGGCCAGCCTACCATTTCTCACGTGGATTTCTACAACAGCCTTCTCAGTAGTCTCCCTGCCTCTTGTTTAACTGCAGTCACCATCCATCCAACCGAGCCAGAGATTTTTGCTAAAACACAAACCTGATCGTGTCATTCTCAGCTCCAAACCCTACAGGGGCCACCCACAGGGCTCAAGACAAAGTTCTTACTCCCCACTCTTCGTTATTATGAAATAAATCAGATATGCACTTAAAGAATAATACATCAAACGCTTGTGTACCCCATCCTGCTTAAGACTAAGACATTACAAATATCACTGAGGCCTTCTTTGAACTTCCCCACATCATTCCTCACCCACCACCTCACAGCTACCACTCTCCTGAAGTTCTCATTCCCCGTCATCTATCTTGATACTCGTACACATATATGCATTCCCAAACAATACATATCATTTTGACGTGTTTGTAACTTCACACAAATAAAACACTTGCTTTGCTTTTTTCACCCCACATTATGTTGATGAGATTCATCCATGTTGGAGGGTGTTGTTCGAGGTCACTCATTTTTATTGGCTGTTGAGTACCATTGTGTGACTGTACTACAGTTTATCTGTCCACTTGATTGCTGATGGACGTGTTTCCAGGTGTAGGCCATCGCAATGCTGCCCTAAGCCTTCTCGTACCCGCCTCCTGGGGCCCATGGGCTAGGATTTGTCAGGGTTTATACCCAGGAATTTGCTGGGTCAGAGGAAATGCACATCTTCAGCTTTGCTATATGTTGTTAGATTATTCTCCAGAGTGGTCATACCAACATACACCATTGGTGAACCATTCTGTGTCCCTCAGCCCAGGCACTAAGACACCTCTGCCCATTTCTATTTCCTCCAAATAAAATGACTTAACTCCACCTGTTTATGTCCAGCCTGTCCAGCTCCCTTGCCAGGCCCTCACTCCATCTTCTCCCACTGGGACTCTTACAAGCTCCCCCGTGCGGGGCAGTGGCAATTTGTACAATAACCAGAATGAGGAGGCTGGCAGTCAGAGCAGCAGCGATTCCATTCCAGGCTAATCTAGTCCCAGATTTGCCTCTTCAGGTGTGTGCCTTTGGGCAAGTTACTTCACCTCTCTGAGCCTTTGTTTCCTCACACGCAAAAAGGAGATAGCAACAGTAGTAACTGACAATAGGCATGTCAAGATGATTAAATGAGATAAGCATGTAAATGCAGTAGGTGCTCCATAAGGAGAAGCTGTTCTTAACACCTTTGGAGTTCACAGAGGACTGCCAACAACTTTAGGTTATCAATCCAGACTACTTTGGTTGTATGTGACAGAAACCCCAAGTCAAGTCAGTTGAAGAAAATGGTAATTTATTGGCCCATGTAACTGGGAAATCTTGGGGTGGGGGTGGGGGGGATCTCATTTCAGGTGAGACTAGATCCAGGGGTTCTAACGATGCCACCAAGAAGCTGGCCCTGTCCATCTCTCTGGGCAATTCTGCCCTGTACATTGGCTTCATTCCCACTGGGGTCTCCCAAGTGATCCCTCCAGGACACATCCTTCCACCTTTACTGCAGGGAGGGAAAAAAAAAAAAGAGCTCCTCCCCATCACTTCCTGCCCAAACCCCAAGGCTGCTTTTCATTGGCCCAGCTCTTGTCACATGGCCATACCTGAACCAATCATGATGACCAGGGGAAAGGATGGTGATGATGGTCCAGGTCCAGGTCATGTGCTCACCCTGAGACAGGAGGTGGTCAACAATCTCTAAAACCACATGGGATGAGATTGGAGAAGGAGTGGATCCCTGAGGAAAACTGAGGTGAATCTCCCAAAATAAGGGGAAATGAATCCTGGCTAGGTAAAAATGACATTGAGAATATGCATTTTAAGATTTCCAGGTGATCTGTCTGCACATCAAAATTTTGAAAGTGCCACACTACATATTAATGCTGCAGTTAAGCACTTGGCTACTAACCAAAAGGTTGGTGGTTCAAATCAAACCAGCAACTCTGCGGGAGAAAGAGCGGGTGATCTGCTCCCGTAAGATTACAGCCTAGAAAACCCTATGGGGCAGTTCTCCTCTGTCACATGGGGTCGCTATGAGTTGGAATCGACTCAACCGCCGACCAACAACAAACTAGTTTTTAGTTGTCTAAAACATTTAACGTTTTAGACAATTTTGTAAGTTCTGTTTTATTGAAAATCACAAAAGGTAAGAACTACAAAAGCTCTTGGAGGTTTCCTGGTCCACCCCCTTGTTTTAAAGAAGGAGAAACAGAGGACCAGCAGGGAAGGAACTCACTCTGGGTGTCCACTCCCACCCAGTGCCATCCTCCACACCCTACTCCCACCAGCTCAGCAATCGTCTTGCCTGTCGTGTGTTTCTCATGGAGAGTGCATCCAGAGCTCCCAAAGTGCCAGCCTGCCCTAGTCATCATCTGCTGTCACTCATACACTACCGGGCCAGGACCCGTGGGAGCAATGAGCCCATGTGGAGGAGGATGGAGACGCACAGACAGGGCAGACCCACAGAAACACACACACTCACACACACGCAGATCTATCCAGGCAGCCTCTGACTCACAGACTCACGTAGACACTCGGCACACCTCACCCTCACCCACCAGGCCCACCAAAGCCAAGAGAGCTACAGACCACACCAGCCTTTATTCTATGACAGAGAGTAGGGCTGGGGCCAGGGTAGTCCATTCTCAGGCTGCGTCAGAAGGTGCAGAGTGTTGGGGGCACACAGACTGGACCCCAAAGTGACAATAAGTTAGGGGGAAATTTTCAGGCTGATGTCAGGCTGGAGCAAAGGCACAGCCGAGGCGCCCAGAGCCACTTCCGGCTGCCCGGCTCCACTGTCCGGCAAGGCTGGCTCCAGGCAGACTCGCCTCACCTGAAACACCACAGGGCAGGGGGAAGGGGGAGGTTATGGGCTCAGAGGTCAGTAGGGGTCAGAAGAGGCCCCCAGAGTCAGAGAGGATAGGCCTGAGGTGGCAGGGAGGGTCGGAAAGGGGTCCTGGAGGGCAGGGCTGGGGATGGGAGGGGCTCTCACCAGGCCCTCAGTTAAGCTTTTATAGATTCTCATAATCTGGAGCTCCTTCTTCCTCCTCTTCCTCCACATCCTGGGAACTCGAGGTGGCTGTGAGGGCAGGAGAGTTTGGTCTCCAGCTCGAAAACCAACCCCCTAAGGCAGCTCCCCCAGCTCCTGCCCCTTCCCCCCACCAGCACACACCAGGCTCAGTCCTGGCCGCAGGCTGCAGCTCCTGGGACACATTCACATACTCCCGGCTCCCGTCTGTGGGGACAGGTCAGCAGGAGGGACGGCCACACCGAAAGGGAAGGCAGGCCGCGTGGAGGGCAAGAGAGCAGAGGGATAGCAGAGAGTGATAGATGGGGGCCGGACTGAGGGTCAAACATGGGCTGGGGTCACCCACATTGAGGGCCGGGGACAGGGGCATAGGCCACACCAAGGGCCAGGCGGGACACGGGCCACACGGAGAGTGAGGGTTGGGGGTGAAGTCACACTGAAGGGGGTAGCCACACCAGGGGAGGGGTCTGGCCACACTGAAGATGAGGTGTGGGGGGATAGGTCACACTGTGGGACGAAGGGGTGAGGGAGAGAAGGCAGACCCTGAGAGGGAGCCAGGGGAGCTGTCACTCACCCAGAGACGCTTCGGCACTCTCCTCACTCTCAGGAACGTTCACGTAATCTTCGCCTGACTCCACTATAGGAAAACCATCAGAGCCCACCCCACCCCCAACACTGTTACCCAGAGACCCTCAAACATAGATTTGCAGAGCCCCCAGTGCAGGCACCCAGACCTGCAACAGAACCACCTGAGACCACCCCATAGCCAGTCCCAGAGGGACACAGAAAGGGCCTCTCTAGACAGGTGACATCTGGACCAGAGACAGTGGCTTGGATGAGGATGCAGGCTGTGGAGGTGGAGAGAAGTAAGTCACCTTGACAAATGCTGACTAGAATGAATGAAATTTTGGGGAAAGCAGGAGGGTTACAGACCCTGGCCTGACCCCGAGGTTGGGGCACAGAAATGAAGAGCAGCTCAGAGTGGAGGGAGGTTGGTAGTGTGTGTGGAGAGGGGTGACATGCTTGGATCTGGCTGTGCCAAGTCCGAGGGGCCTGTGGCTCTCACGTATCAGCCAGGCTCACCTCAAACGTCACCTGCTCAGACAGCCCACCCTGGCCCCACCTACTCAGCCACTGCCCATCTCAATCTCCTGCCTCAGTCCCTTCGTAGCACTTATCACCAATGACATTATTTTGTTCTTTTATTTGTTGACATGTTTTCCCCACGAGGATATGGACAAGACAGGCTTTGGAGCCGAACGCCCAGGTTCAAATCCCAGCTCCAACACTAAGTAACCTTAGACAAGTGACCTAACCTCTCTGTGCCTCAGTTTTCCCATCTATAAAATAATAACAGGGTTATGATGAAGATTAAAGCAGTACATGTTAGAATAGGGCTGAGCGCTCACAGTAAGTGCTGCCAACTGTCTGTGAACTAAATAAGCCCTGCCATCATGCAGATAAGACTGCAGCGCAGGGTGGGGAGGGACGGGCTCAAGAGCAACTGGGAGATGTGAAGTTTAGTAAGTTGCTACACATTAAACTCTTGGGTATAGCACAGAGTGAACCAGTAACTTGTTGCCATCAAGTCGATTCTGACTCATGGCGGCCCCACATGTCAGAGTAGAACTGTGCTCCACAGGGTTTTCACGGCTGTGACCTTTCAGAAACATCACCAGGCCTTCCTTCTGAGGCCCTCAATAACTGTCAGCTATTATTACGATTGTAGTCTACCTCATTAATTGTAATATACCTAGGATTAGCCCAGTGGAGACGGCCAATAAGTATCTGTTAGATGGATGGATGAAAAGAAGCACCTGGACCGAGAGTCTGGAGCTCAGGAGAGAGGTGGCAAATTGGTGTGTGGATGTGATAGTCCACGGCAAGTGTAGAGAGAGAAGAGTAACAGAAAACTAACGATCATCAGACGTTGAGGAAAGCCTCCAACAGGCAGGATGAGACCAAAATGAAGAGAGAAAAGCAGCTCAGAAGAAACTGAGACAATGCAGCAAGCAGAAGAAAACTTAAAAAAAAAAAAAAAGGACACTCTATAATTAATATGTTTAGAGATTTACAAGATGATATTGCCTCCATGAAACAAAAACAGGAGGCTATAAAAAAGGAACAAAGACCAAGAAAGTGTTTTGGAGAGGAGAAACAAAATTTCAGAAGAAGGGCTGAGGAAATCTCCCAGACAATAAAATAAAAAGACAAAGAGATAGGAAAGAGAGAGAAAAGGTAAGAAAATCAGAAGATCAGAACAGAAAGATTTCATTTTACTTGGATCCACAATCAACACCCATGGAAGCAGCAGTCAAGAAATCAAAAGACGTACTACATTGGGCAAATCTGCTGCAAAGGACCTCTTTAAAGTATTGAAAAGCAAAGACGGCACCTTGAGGACTAAACTGCCCCCGACCCAAGCCATGATGTTTTCAATTGCCTCATATGTATGCGAAAGCTGGACAATGAATAAGAAAGACCGAAGAAGAACTGATGCCTTTGAATTGTGGTGTTGGCGAAGAATATTGAATATACCGTGGACTGGCAAAACAACGAACAAATCTGTCTTGGAGGAAGTACAACCAAAATGCTCCTTAGAGGCAAGGATGGCAAGACATTGTCTCACATACTTTGGACATGTTATCAGGAGGGATCAGTCCCTGGAAAAGGACATCATCCTTAGTAAAGCAGAGAGTCAGCAAAAAAGAAGACGACCCTCAACGAGATGGACTGACATAGTGGCTGCAACAATGGGCTCAAGCATAGCAACAATTGTGAGGATGGCGCAGGACGAGGCAGGGTTTCATTCTGTTGTACACAAAGTTGCTATGAGTCGGAACCAACTCGACAGCACCTAACAACAACAGAGCAGAAAGTCCATTATCTGAAGGACAAGAGTCCTAGGAAAGACAGAGAAAACCAAGGGTAGAGGTAGAAATCAACAGATAATAGAAGAGAGAGGAGTAGAGGGGGTCAGCCGAACATAAGCAGTGGGAGACATGAAGGTATGTCAAGACTGTCAACTCACTGGAGAAAGCACTGTCTCGAAGGCCTGGGTTGCTGAGCACAGGAGCTGGTGGGACGGCAGTGCTAGTGGCCGGAGTGCTGTCGGGAAGCACCTCCCTGAGGAGGAAGGAAAATGGCGGGTGAGCAAGCATACCCCTGCCTCAGCCCCCACCTCCCACCTAGTCACTCACAAGTAGCCCTCATTGTGATAGTCTTCCTCATCCTCGTCTTCGTCCATGTCCTCACAGGCTGCCTCTGAGGGTGACACAGGTGTTAGCACAGCCCGGGACAAGTCCCAGCCTCCCCACCCAGCCAGGGCACCTGGGGTCCCAGACGCACCCTCATTCTCGTAGCTCGCCACACTGTTGGCTTCAAAGAGGGAGGGAAAGAGAGACTGAGTCAGCTCAGGCTAGGCCTGTCCTGTAACCAGCCCCAGCCCCGCGGAGCCCATTCTCCACACTTACCAGCATCTGAGTCCTTCCGGGAAGATGGCATCCGGTGGGTGCCCCCGGGGGGCTGTGGGGATCTCCTGGGAGTCAAAGGTCAGAGGTCATGCCTAGGAAAGGGACCTGGGGGCAAGAGAGTTTGCAACAGGACAAGAGGCCCCCAATTCAGGGAGGTGAGAGGGTAAAGAATAGGATCTGGGGGGAAGGAGGTTGAGGGGCTACTCACGGGATGGGGAGCAGGTCTGGCTCACTCAGGGGTGGGTAGGAGGTAACGGGCGGGTAGGAGGTGACTGGTGGCCAGGGGGCGAGCGTGTCTGAGGACAGGACGAAGCTGATGGAATGACTGTGGTCATCATGCTCCCTACCCTCCTCCAGGCCTCGAAGGGCAGACGAAGCCCACTGAAGCCCCAGCGCCCAGACAGGCCTGAGGGCTCCCGTCTCCCTCCCCACCCCCAGCTCAGGTCGAGGCACAAGACACAGACCCAGGTGGGCGGCCCCAGAGGGGACCTCCACAAAGGCACACACTCACTCACACCCGGGGACCCTTGTCCCTCCACCCGACAGTCCCATCTACTCACGAGGTCGCTTAATCAATATGTTACTTGGGTACAAACTGGCAGGAGAGACACAACTTGAAAGTGGGGCCGGGAGAACCCCCGCCCAGCCCCTGAGGCCCAGCCCACCATGGGGTATTGAGGGGGACCCACAGGGTAGACAAGGGGCAAACTCACCTATCTGAGGAAGCAGTCTCATATGAGCCTGGGGAAGAGAGAGCTGGTAAGGCAGGAAAAGGGGTACTGAGGCCTAGAGTCTGGGGGCTTACAGAGTCTCTGAGTGCAGGACCAAGTCGGGATGGGGGAGTGGGGTGAGGATTCCTGAGTCTAAGCATCCAGTCCCCCCCGCCAGCTCCCCACTCACCTGGCAGCTCACGGCAGCGCAGACACAGTACCGCCAGCAGCACGATCAAGAGGGGCAGCAGCAGGAGCCCCAGCACAGTGGAGACCACGACAGCCGTCTCCATCTGCAGAGAGATGTTGGACCAGGCCTGGCTGTCTCTCTGAAGGCCCCTAAGGGCAGAGCTGCAGCAGGGCTCAGACTGGGCCCAGCAGGGTGCCAGACTGGGGAACCTGCTTCGGGGGCAGCTGTGCCCTCCTGGGGGATCCCTGGGTTCCCTCCCCTGGCAGGGCTGCGTCGGGGTCAGCACTGGCTCTGGAAGACCCTTGGCCCCAGGTCAGTCAGGCCAGAGCCTGGGCTGGGATCCGGGGCACCAGCCACCCCCTGCATGGTCCCTACACCCCAGCTGTACCCGTGCCTCAACTCCACGCCGCCTCTCCTCGGGCGCCCACCCGCCTGCCTGCAGCAGGAAGCTGTGGTAAGCACCAAGTCAGGGCAGGAAATCATCGGGCTCCTCAGCGGGCTGCACCCGCCCCTTCCCACCCCCACCCAGCAGCAGGGAGCGGGAGAAGGCCCTCAAGAAGGGTCTGCCAACCTCTGGGAGAGTGGCAACGCAGGCCGGTGGGAAGGGGAAGACCCCTGCCAGGCGGCCAGCAACCTGGCCTCCACATCCGTGGGCTAGAGGAGGCAGCAGGGAAGGAGGCTCTGAGCCTGGCATTTTGAGGGGCAGAGGGCAGTGCCCACCCCCACCTCACCCAGGCCTGCCCGCCAGAGGGGCAGGATCTGGGGGGAAACATGGGCATGATTCATGCTCACACCGAGCCAGCTCACTTGGAGAAGAGCAGACCCCTCTCCTTCACCCAGCCAGAGGGCAGGGACTTGCCCATGGTCCCACAGGAGTGACCCAAACATCCCAGGAGCCCTGGGTTGGGGAGGGGACAGCCCTGCAAGGCCAGAGGTCAGAGGTCACAAGAACTCACAGGAAGACTCAAGCAGGCACTTGGGGTCTGGCTACAAATTTTATTCAGTTACAAATAGCACCGAGCCCATGGGGCTGCCCCAGCGGAGGGGATCCCCCCCGGCCCCCAACTTCCCCAGGCCCCTGGCTGCCCTATAGTGTCTGGAAGCTGGCACACAGCTCAGGGCCCTCCTGGGAGCTGGGCCTGGCCGAGGCTTTGGGCCTGGGCCCCACCTAAGGTGAGGCTAGGGCCAGGAGTGACAGATGTGCGAACAGGTGAGCAATGTCCCCTCAGATGAGCACGCTGGACACGGGGACCCGGGTGGAGCGGCCTCGCTGGGGCACCACAATACGGTCATCTGCGGGCCCTGCCTCGTGCAACACACCTAGGGGGAGAGAAGGATCAGAGCCAGGGCTGGATGGACAGGCAGAACAAAACTGGAGGGGACAAACAGGTAGTGGGAAATGGATGGGGCAGCAGCCAGAGAGCCACCAGAGTTGTGGACACAGACATCAGCTTGTTGGATAGACAGACCCGGAGCTGAGGGAGTGATGCCAGGCATACAGGACTGGGAAGACAGATGGACAGGCAGACAGGGAGGCAGTGTCATGAAGTCAGGCAGGGAGTTGTGGACAGATAAGAGGTGGCCCCAACTGACCCTGCAGGTGCAGCTGGGCCCGCTGGCGGTCGCCCTCAATGAAGATCGCGGTGCCCAGGAAGGCCGCACCGCCCAGTGCCCCGACAAAGGCGCAGAGCATGAGTGAGAACTGCAGGGCCCGGAACTCGGACAGGAAGGAGGGGGGCCAGCTCCGGCGGAGGCGGTCGGAGATCTGGGGAGAGAGGACGGTGAGCCATCAGAGGAGAGGAACGTCAGCAGAGAAACCTAGAGAGGAGGCGGGAGAGAGAGCCCCTGAACTCTGGAAAAGGAAAATGGAGCCTGGGAAAGGGAAGGAGGTTTGCAGCACCTGGGAGAGGTCCCCCGGCCTCACTGCTGGAGATCTTCGAAGACAAGATCCTTTGGTCTAGCTGAGGCTCCTAGCTGAGAAGCGCCTGGCCAGAGGGCATGGGACCTAACTGGGACTGTCCTGGGAGTGCAGGGCTCCCCGACACCCACAGGCCCGGCCAAAGGGCAGTGCTCACCAGGCCAATGAGGTAGGGGCTCCCAGCATCACCCAGCAGGTGGGACAGCACGATCTGGAAGGCCTCCGCGGTGGACCGCCGCGTGGGGATCACCACATACTGGGGGCGGGAGGAACACGGCTCAGTGGGCAGGCTCCCCCAGGGGGAGCAGGAGGCCGAGAATGAGGACAGGGCCAGGGCTCAGGGAGGCTGAGGTCAGAGGTAAGCCCTGGCTCAGACATGTGACTGGGGTCAAGATCACAGGTCAGGGCCAGGATTACAGGTCCATCTGGAGCTGGATTCCAGAGTCAACCTGGGGTGGGTTTTGAAGAAAGGGTAAAAGCCTCCTGACCCAATCCCTGCTCCCATAAGCCTCTAAGCTAACCCTGGAGCTCCTAGCTACTCACCAGCAAAATGTCAGCCACAATGGCCCAGTTCATGGACAGTAGTGTTTCCCCAATAAAGATGAAAATCTAAGGAAAGGGGAGTTCTCATCATCATAAGAGGCAACACAGAGGGACTACCATGTACCAGGCTAATCTATTCACTCGCTTCCTCCTCACAACACCCCTGGAAGACAGGTGCTACCATTATGCCCACTTTACAGATGAGGAAACTGAGCACAAAGAGATTAAGTCACTTGGCCAATGTCACGCAGCTGGGAAGGAGCAGAGCTGGGATTCAAAGTTAGGCATTCCCACTCCAGAATCTGCTATTAACCACGACACTGGCTGACCCTCGGCCTGCCCCAGCGTCCCATCTCTCCACCCTCGACCCAGAACACCTCCTGGACACCTGTTGGCTACTCACATAAGTGGCCACGATGCTACCACGGGCGCTGGCGAGGGACAGGAAGAGGAAGGGTGCGGAACCCAGGAGGCCAGCAGCACAGACCAGCGGGTCAGCCCGGGGGTTGGAGCGGCGGAGGCGGCGGCTGACCTCCACGCCCAGGCCCACACCCAGGATGCCAGTCAGGCAGGTGATGAGCCCGAAGATGAGGCTAAGGGGCGGGGCAGGGGGATGCGGGCTAGTCCCTCTGCCTGTGAATCCCCCGGCCTCACTCCCAAGGCCCAGAGAGGAAGATGCTCCATCCCAGCCACCCGCACAACTCCCGTCCATCCAGGCCCAGAGCCCCGTGGTTCACAAAGCCCCAAGAGATGGGCGTATTTCACACCATCAGCCATTTCACAGACTCAGGAGAGGAGACAGCCTGGGGAGTCCGGATTCAAACTCTCCTCACCTGAGTATGGAAGTAGCCTCTCTTCACTCCACCCCTGCCTCCAGAAGCCACCCAGCCCAGCCCCATCTGCGTACCTGTCAGAGGAGGAGCAAGAGTCTCCAGGAAGGCAGGGGGGGGTCTCCCCCAGGACCACACGGGAACGCAGCAGGAATGCAGGAGCCCACAAAGCCAAAGAGCCTGTGACAAAGGCCACAGCAGTGAAGCCAAGGGACGACAGGACGAAACTAGGACTGCAAGACGGGAGGGAGGGAGGAGGTCAGGCTCCACCAAGAGGTCAGGGCAGAGAACCTTTGTTCTCCCTTCCTGGCATGACTTGGTAAAGTCAGGACGCTACACGTGGAGGCTTCTGTCCTGGCTCCTGGGCCTGTAATTCAAGCAGCTGCCACAGGGGGCAGTGCTGGTCGAATCCCTGAGCTTAGGGAATGGCCAGCTGACAGAAAAGATAACAAAGACCATGGACACTCAAACCAGATGTTCAGGGCCTGTCCTGGGGCCTCAGCTGTTGGACTAGGATAGGACTAAACTCACTTTCTTGCCAGAGCCGTCAGATCTGCCAACCACGAGGTGGGGCTCAGGGGTGGCGCGTCCGAGTGGCGTTCCACAGCTCCCCTTGGCGGCTCCCGTACTACCAGGAAGAGCAGCAGGACAGCCACCACTCCTAGACCTGGTGTCACCTGGAGGAAGAGTGGGCTTCATGACAGGCCCTGGCAGGGACACGCTCAAACGCTGGACTGGGGTGAGAGAGGGCGTCTACAGGCAACTGGGGCCCCAAGGAAGCTGAACCTGCAATCAGGAGTCGGGGGAGGCTGCCACTAGGGACCACCCTGTTTCTGCAAGCTTAACTTTTGTTCCCTCTTTGGTAACAGCATTCTAATCTTCTTCTGGGGAAACATCCTCCCCGTCTCTCAATCCATGTGACTCAAACAGGGCTGGGCATGTAACCCGGGTTTGGCCAATGAGAGCAGTATGATTGGCTCCCATGACAGGCAGGCATGTGACCCACACTGATCTACCCAGACACCATCCCAGGACAATCGCACAAGGTTCCAGGCCGCCAAGATTTCTAAATGGAAAGGTACTAGTTTGGAGCTTTCACTTGCTTAAGAATGAAGTTACTACACAAAAAAGGAAAGCCAAGAACAAGATGATCAAGGTTCCATGACAATGTGAGCCCTGGAGCAGCTCACCCTGTGACCTTCCATGATGAGCGCCAATACAGTGCCTTCTTTGGACCTACAGTTTTACAGTGGACTTCTGTCACGTGCAACCAGGAGTTCTTTCTAGCCCATGGCTTCGTGGTGAGGGCAGCCAGGCTTCACTGCCTCACAAAGGTGGTGTGTGAAGGTAGGAAATGGGGACCAGTGAGAATGGCGCTGACCTCTCCCCAGGCAATGATGAGACTCACCCTCAGAGCCCAGTGCCAGTCCCCGGCCACATCCTTCACTTTGGAGCCTGCAATGTAGCCCAGACCACTGGAGGTGGAAGGGACGGGGGTACATCCAGTCAGTCGTGCCTCCTATCCCAGGCCCTCTGCCCCCGACCAGGCCCAAGGCCCACTCACCTGCCCACGGGGATGGCAAAGTAGAACACGCTGAGCATCCGACTCCGCTGGTCTGCCACGAAGAGGTCAGCGATGAGCGTGGGCGCAATGGTGGAGTAACTGGCCTCCCCGACCCCCACCAGGCCCCGGGTCAGGAGGAGCAGCCAGAAACGCTGGGGAACGAGACGGGGGGAGGTAGCAGCTCGCCCTGAAGCCAGCCTCCCAGCCTACCTTACCAGCTGGCTCTGGAGAGGCGGTGGGGATGGCGGGAGAGGCCTGGCTTTAGAATCAGACAGACCTCGGCTTGAATCCTGGCTCCACCACTTACTTACTAGCTGTGACTCTGGGAAAGTAACTTAACCTCTCTGAGCCTCAGTTTCCTCATGTGCAAAAGTGGAATAATAATACCGTGCTCACAGAGCTGTTGGGAGGATTGGAAAATAAAAACTCTACTTATTACTTTGCACCCAGCAGGTACAAAATAAATCTTAGTTTCTATTATCCCACCCCAAGACACCCCAATAGCGAATTATTATGACCTTGGGTAAGGGCTCGTTTGTCTACCAAAGACACCTGGAGTAAGAACAACATGTGAC